ATTTAAAACCTTCTAGAAAGCTATAAGTTTCCAAGTATTGCCTTTACTGTATCCCACAAATTTTGATATATTGTATTTTTATTAGAATTTATTATAACTCAGAATACTTTCTTATTCTCTTATGGTTTTATCTTCAAGCCATGGGTTACTTAGATATGTGTTACTGAATTTTCAAATGTTTACAAAATCACTAAATACTTGAGTTACCACTTTCTGATTTAACTCTATGGCCATAGAATATACTCTGTAATATACAAATCTTTGGAAATGTATTGAAATTTCTTTTATGACTTAGTATATGTCTACTTTGATAGACAATCCATATGCACTTGAAAGCAATGTTTATTCTACAGCTGTTCAGTTTTATAAATGTCAATTAGATCAAGTTTGTTGGTGGTGTGCCCAGATCTTCTACATCCAGGCTAATTTTTGTCTACTTAGTCTATTAATTACTGAAAATTTGGTGTTAAGCTCTCCAACTATTTTTTCCATTAGTTCTGTCAGTTTTCACTTCACAAATTTTGAAGCTTTGCTATTAGATGCATACATAATGATGATTGTCTTCCTAATGAACTAGTCTTTTTGTGATTTATAAATTTCCCTCTCCATCTCTTGTAAAATGCTTTGTCTTAAAGTCTACTTTTTCTAAAATTAGTATAACCATACTTTCTAATGCTGTTTGCCTGATATTTCACTTTCTGTTATTTTATGTTCATTTTCTGCATATCTTTAAATTTAAAGTGCATGACTAATAGATGTATATATGTGTATCTTACCTTTTTTCTAATCTAACATCCCCTGACCTTCAACTGGAATATTATCTTTAATGTCATTTATATTTAATGTAATTTGCTGTGGTATGTTTAAGTTCATCATCTTGTTAATTATTTTCCATTAGTCTCTTCTGTTTTCTTATTCTGTTCCTCTTTTCACTGGTATTTTCTTTTTATCCTTCCTATTAGTTTCTTAGCTCTTTTTAAAAATTAATTTTTAGTGTTCTTCCAGGGCTAGCAATGCATTCTTATCAGTCTATTCAGAATTAAAATTGTACGACTTCACACTTTCCACTTGTTGCTTTGCATTTGACACATTTCCCTTCACACTTTATAATTTACGCTCCACAAATCTAATAGCCTCACAATAGTATAAATTCATTTATCCATCACCCCCAACTTTTATGCTTTTTTGGTTACCTATTCACTTCTACATATAACATAAAGTCTACCTTGCAATGCTATTATTTTGTTGTGTTTTAAAAAATCAGTTGCCTTTTAAGGAAATATTGAAGTGATAAAAACAACCTTTCATATTACCCACCTTTTTGCTGTTCCTGGCACTCTTTTTTTCTTTGCTTTCTGTAGATTTGTTTCCAGTCAATGTCATTCTCCCATCAGTATGAAGAAAGCCTTTAGCATTTTTGTTTTGCAGTCCTTCTGGATCCAAACCCCTTGGCTTATATTTATCTGAAAATGTTTTTATCTTACTCCATTTTTTTTAATTTTATTTTAATTTATTTTTTCAAATACATTTGTCTCTGTCAACCCCCCCACCGCTTTCCCTTGTATTTTACTCCATTTTAAGGGGTGTTTTCTCTAGATATAGAATTCTGAGGGTTTTCCCCCATCAGCACTTTAGAGACATTTCTGTTGTCTTCTGACATCAACTGTTTCTGATGGAAACTTGGCAAACATTCATATTGTTGTTCACTTATATCTTACGTATATTTTTCCCCTCTGGCACTTCTCAAGGCTTTCTTTTTATTTTTAGTTGTCAGGTGTCTGACTCTGATGTGCCTAGATGCATCTTTCTTGGTATTTATCTTTCATTGAGTTCCACAATTTTGTTGGAAGTATAAGTCATTTTTCATCAAATTTGAAGAAATTTTGAATTATTAAATTATTTATTTTTTCTGTCCATTCTCATTCTCTAAGACTCCTATAACACATACAGGGGTGGGCAAAAATAGGTTTACAGTTGAAATGCAAATAAAAAATACAATAATTAATAAATAATAATATGGCCCTGGCTGGTGTGGCTCAGTGGATTGAGTGCCAGCCTGCCAACCAAAGGGTTGCAGGTTCAGTTCCCATTCAGGGCACATGTCTGGGTTGCAGGCCAGGTCCTCAGTAGGGGGCAGTTGAGAGGCAACCACACACTGATATTTCTTTCCCTCTTTTTTTCCCTCCTTTCTCCTCTCTAAAAATAAATAAAATCTTAAAAATAAATAAATAATAATACGAGAATAAACTGTTTCCCATGCTCACAACTGTAAACTTACTTTGGCCCATCCCCATATATTAGAGGAGGTGATATTATCCACTTGTCCTGAGGTTCTGTTCCTTTATTTTTCCTTTACCATCTCCCATTTGCTCTGAAACCTCTCCAGTGAATTCTTCACCTCAGTTACAGTACTTTTTTATTTTAGATTTTCCATTTGGTTCTTTTTTATGATTTTCATTTCCCTACTGAGATTCCTAATCTGTTGACTACATCAGGCTACATTTTCTTTTAATTCTATGAATATATATATATATAGTTCTTTAGCTGCTTTAAAGCCTGCTAAATCCAGCGTTTGCGTCACATCACATTGTGTTTCTGTTTACTACTAGTTTTTTTATTGACTGTGGATCCTATTCTCCTATATCTTTGCACATCTGGTAATATTTCTACTATGTACTGGACATTGTTAGTAATACATTAGAAATATTCTGGATTCTATTATCTTTCCCTGAAGGGTATTGATTATTGTTCAATTATGGGCTAGTAATCTTTAAATTGTGTAGGTTTGTTTTTATGCTTTGTTATGGAGGATACATAGAAACCTGAGATGTTTCCCAAGCACTTCTAATTGGCAGGACTCAACCTCCAAAATCTGTCTCCCCTGAAGACCTTGTCAGGGCTGTGTTTTAAGTTTTGTTAGGGTGGGTACAGAGCAGTGGTCTTCAACTGAAGATGATTTTCTCCCTGATGACATTTGGCAATATCTGAAGACATTGTGGATTATCACAACAGGAGATCAGTGGGAAGCTACCGGTATTTAGTGGGTACAGGTTGGGGATTCTACTACATATCCTACAATAAATAAAAAAGCTCTACACAAGAATTATCTTGTCCAAAATATCAAGTGTCAACACTGAAAAACTGTGGTCTAACTGAGGCCTTACTCTAGGGCATAGTCCTTGCCTCTGCCTGAGGGATTAATGAGGTGAGGGCACCTCTGCTCTCCCTGGAACAGACGTCAATGACTTTAATCATTATTTGAGTTCTTATCTCTGCTGAGCTGCTCTGTCGTGAGTCTAAAGTAGTCATACCCTCAGCTGTTTTTTGATGGATTTTTAGTTCATATCATTTTCTCAGTGTAAAACCTTTACTTTTACTTTCTTTTGAACACTGAACTTAATAACTGTGGAATCTCAGAAAGCATACCATCATATTTTTTACTATGATGTATATTTGATAATGTTTGTGTGACTTTGATGAATATGATTCTTAAATTGAAAAGATAGTTTAATCTGATGGCACAAAATATTAGATATACTGGCCATGTGCATGAAAAACCACCTATTTGATTAGGAATTAACTTATACACATGGATGTGAATATTGCTGTTGGCATGGAAACCTGACCCTTTGTGTTACATTTCACTAACATTTTAATATTTTCACCCATACTATATTTTTTTCTAATAATAGAGTTTAATGACAGGACATTATAATCATAGAGCCAATGTGTAAACAATGAATAAAGTGAAAGGCTGAAGACAAAAACTTCTAACTTCCCAAAGGAGTTTATAACAAGGTACTATGGATAAGAAACACCACTCTCCTTGAATCAGAGTATATCCAGGCCCACTATTAGCACGCTTTTTCTCAAGCTCCACATGGTCTTGTCGTCTTGTACCTCAGCACCTCCTCTACCCCATCCGCACCTTCCGACCAATGTATGAGTCCTTCCTCCCTCCTAAGTCCACACCCAGTGCTCAACTCAGAAGCAAGTAATACAGTGTATTGTTTTTAACAGCACGCTACCTTTCTAATCCACAGACGAGTTGTCTTTCTCTCCCCGTCTCTTCTTTTTCATTATGTAATACACAATTAAAGCTATTATCCTCACTCTAGAAATTATACTTCTTCACGTGGCTTTGAATCTACTACCTTAACTAGTAAAACACAAGTGTTCTGAGCAATTAGACAGTCAGGACATTATGATTTGAATAGTGGAGATAATATAACCAGGCCAAATCGTTGGCATAAACAATATGCCGGTGATGTCTAAATACCAAATTATTTATTACATTAACTTGACTTTTGTATCTTTAACCATAGTGCTTTTTTCTTTTCTGAAGAGGCTACAGAGTTGTATATGCACTTGACTTTCCGTGAGTATTCAAAATTGTTCCTTTTTTGTTGTTTTCTCACTTAGGGAAAATAGGTCAATTTAATTTTCATTTAATTTGCTTTGCTCAATATAAAACAAAAGTATCAATAGTACTCAGTTCCGACTTGATGATTAGAATAATGGCTAAGCTTACCGAGGCTAGAAATATGGACGGTAATTTGAATATTTAAAATCCATAACTAAATAGAAGAAATAGAATTAGCTACATCAAAATAGACATAAATATCATAAGAAGAAACCCAGTAAACATGTAACAAAACAAATTTGAAAAAAATATACTTTCTTGGTGTTTACCATTTTCATGCTATCCCCTATTAGGTGGCTGGCTGCAAAAGAGATCCTTTAATAGTCAGGATCTATATGTAATTCTTTAGGTTGTCATTCATTTTAACCAGAAAATTGTGTGTATTTAAAAACATGAATCGGTAATTTTTGTTATAAGAAAAAATATGGCATTTTATAGCTAAATATCTTGAATACCTAACTTCTTCTTGTTTTACTATTACCCACATTATGCTTTGATTTTAACTGAAACAAATACATCTGTTTTCTCAAAAAGATCACAAAATTAGTACTTACAGAGTACATATTTATTTTCCAATTACTTTTATAGATCTCACAGGCAGAATAGTATCTTGTTCTCTCTACTACAGTCAACAACACTAAAAATCTACAACTCTGGTGGCAATATCACTAACTACTAAAAATCAAGCAAGCAATTTACAACTATCCGTAATTAAGGAAAATGGATTCCAAAGGCATATAATTGCAATGACAATAAATTAGTATCTATGCATTAAGACACAAATAGCCACCATAAATTTAGTACCTCGGGCAGTGTTCTAATTGTGATAGTTATACAAATTTGGGAAACTGAGGAACACATCAGCCAGTAACCAACAAAAATATAAAAGTGCCCATTTTGCTAATACTATATGATCAGCTCTTTAGCTTGACATTGTGTGATACTGTTATCCCTTCCAAAGCATTAGAAATCAATACTACATGTGCCGCAAGCTTGTCTGCAGATGAATGATTTGGTGAGGATGCCCTCATTTCAAAATTGAGGTCATTAATGTTTATCTTCAGTTGAAACATTTCAGAAGACTTGTTGAACCTAAGAACGCCCAAACTCAGACTACTGGGTGAACAGCGACATCTAGTGGTCATAATATCCCAACAAACATTTTAAAAATACAATATAATCCCCAGGGTAGCCATAAAACAAGTGAAATGGCCACGATGCATCATCTTTAATATTGACAAAGGAATATTTCCAGTGAAATTGTACCAGAGAATTATAGACACTTCCTAGTAGATTTTTCTCTAATTCAGCAATGATTCAAATTTCAGGAAAAGCCAGCACGGGCTTCTAATCTTTATTCTTAATGAACAACCCTTATCTAGGTAAATATCCTTTGTAGGTTTTTATAAATATCCAGTTTTGATTTCTTCATGTCTCAATTCCTGCTTCTAACAGGGTAACAAATAACACTATGAACTATTGAGTGAAAACTAATTAGTTTTGTGGGTCTTTTATGGACACATGGATTGGAATGTTCCAGCAACAAATTTCACTCTATGTAACAGTGCAATGAGGTGTAAAATTAAGACATTATAAAAGTTTCCAGTCTATTAATGATTGTTGGATTGAGTTTATACTGGAAATGTTATTAATTTTTTATAAACAGAAAACATCCAGTTCATCAAACTTTTCTGAAAAAAACTGTATCATGAAATGGAATTATGGAAAATTCAGTCCAGTTTTTGGCTATTTTGCACAGCGAATCTGAGGCAATCCAGGCAAGCTTGTTGTTCTCTGGAAACTTAGTTCCTTATTCTCTGTTCCTATTTTCTGCCAAAGACTGGAAATCGCTCCTAAGGCCTTTCTGCCCAGCTCTAGAAAAAACTCTGTTTTCCTGTCACCATGAGAGATTTTTTCTGGAACCAAACTATATGATGCATCTCCATGGTTGTTCATGGGATGCACTGGGGTTGTCCCTTCCACATGGACTGAGGCACCCCCTAAAATGCCTAGACATGTATCAATGGATATTGGTGGTCATCGCTATCTAATCGTTTATTTCATCTCCCCTAAATTAGCTGCCAAGGACTAAGACTAGACCTTGTTCTGTAACCTTCTAAAGCTTTGTTGATGATCATAAACAGATGCAAGTCCTAGACAACATTTTTTGGGTTAACAGCCTCCCAAATGCAGAATGAGCACATTTAGTACTCCGAGATCATCAAAGCTCAGCCACATGCCATGCTAGTGATTAGCTGGACATTCACCAAATTCCACTTGTATGCATAAAGGGGGCTGTATAGACCAAGTCCCCGTGGCTGGACACAGCAGTCCATAGGCACCATCAAATTGGGGAAGCATAAAAAGAAAGGAACAATTTTCATATCACTTTAAATTTTCATGTAAATGCTAGGCAGACATGCTCCAGTGGGCATCTCTCACCCGAGTATATAAGCAGTTCGCCTTGTTAAATCAATGCATGTGATTCATATGCATTTAAAGTTAACACTAAAGTCAAACCTAAATATAAAGCCTGGGGTTTTCTCCAGTCTACTCTGCCCAGTAACTCCTTAGTCTGGTTTTCCCAAGGTTCTCAACTACAGGAGGATGTGTGGGCAGTGGGTACAGGTCACCACGGTAATATTTATTAAGGGGCCAGGCAGCCCTGAGTGGTTCTGGAGGCTCCTGGAAGTTGTACTCTGCTGCTCTGCACTATACAGTATATACTTCATTCACTCTTTCTGTCCCTTTGCCTCCCTTGTTCCTACCTGAAGCTGGCAATGCTAGCATGAAGCACTGCTGTGCCTTGCTGCTGTCTGAACCTGTGCTATGTAACAAGATGACACCTGAATTCCAGGGGGAAATACTGTTAACTACTCAACACTCGGCATATCTAGAGACTCAGATAAAGAACTGCGGGCAAACTCAGGTTATTATTACTCTTTGCTTGTAGTAATAACCTCCCCCTCAAAAAAAAATATTCAGAACTTGAACTGGTATTTTGAGTTCAAGGACTATTCTCAATCTATCATATCGACATAGCTTAACCTTGCATGTGCTTTAAGGATACATTAGTTCAGTTTGGAAATACAGTAGCCTCAACATTACAGCCCACAAAACCGTTTCCTTGCCTCCTCTCCCCACATAAACTACCCAAAGAATAAAGTAAAATATGCTTTTTATTGTTGCCCAAGGTTGTTCTCCCCTGTGCCTGGCAGAGTAGACAAGATCAAGTTAGACGGTAGGGTGAGTTGCCACCACTGGGCAAGCCTAGAAATAATTTGGTCTGGGTCTAAGTGCTAATATCATGCTTGCAAGTCTCTTTCTGAACAGCATAAAAGCAAAATATCCCATTCCTGCAAGCACACCAACCACAAGAGTGGTGCCAAGAACTTTTGGGGCCCTTTTCTTGGCCACCCGGAGTGCTGTCGGCAGCACCGCAGAGATTAATATATTGTTGACATGCCCTAAAACCTTGTTAAATGTTTTTCTCTTCAAGACACGCTCATAGTATGTTTCCAAGTTGGGTCGCTTTCCATTTCCCCAGTTTCTCCTTGCAAACCCCAGGAACTTCAGTCGATGCAATGTGACAGCGAGCGAGACATCCGCCAGGGTGAAGGACTCTCCGCAGAGCCAAGGCTGGCGGCCTTCTTCTAATCAGAGAAAGGGACACGGAGAATTAGGGGCAAGCACAGCACAGACAGACTCTAGCTGGTATCTTTCATCTCAGTCTTGAGGGAAAGTGTGAGTAGAGCAGGAGATGAAGGCCATGGTACCTTTTCTTGACAATCATACTCAGCAAGTAATTTTATGCTAAAAACAAGTCCATGAAAATGTATCCCAAGCTAAGGGAGACTTGACATCTGCCAGCCAACTAGGTCCCTAAGTGAAACCGGGGTCACTTGAGCTCAAAGCCTGCCTATCACTTCGTAAACAATTCTCAGAAGCTGAGAACCTCAAAGCCAGAGGAGTTAAATGGATATATCCTTCTCGTTTAGGAAAACAACAGGTGAGCTTTAGGAATATCCATAAAGCTGGGCCTGAAATGTCACTCAGTGAGTGCTGCTCTTAGTTACTTGTTAAAAGCATAACAGAGTCCCTGTTGTGAAGCAATGGTCTTCAACTTTGTTGTCAACTGGAATATTGCAAGGGGAGTGGTCATGTGCTTGCACCTGGGCCCTGGCTGCATCATGAAGTCAAGTTCACAGGTACAACGCATGGGTGCTCACCAGCCAGCCTGCATATCTACCTGTGCTGGCCCATTTTATACTTGACTGCAGATTAGAAGTTGTCTCCCTGCCTAAGGGAAAACTTACAGGGAGCATTCAAGTAATTACTCAGGTTATTCAACCAAACTAACTTCTGTAATTACAAATTTGTGAAATGGGCTATGTTGGAATTTCTCGACCAGAATTTCAATTGTGCAGAAAAATTCTTCAGCAGTCACATTTCATACAGATACAGACTGACTTGCAATTAGAGACCTGGGTTTTGCTGATTTGATGTTATTGTTGTTATTCTAATTTAAACTGCCCGTGAAAACAATTATAGAACATTTGTATTGAAATCTAAGACTGTTCCTATAAATACCCCAGGGAAAGAGAAAAAGAATGCAAATGAGAACCTACCTGGGGTTTCTTCGTTTCTTCTTTGCAACTCAGTTTCAACCTGATCCAAGACTTTCTCCAACTCATCAAGAATTTTCTTCAAATATTTGACATTGTCATGGTCAAGCAGCTTTGACTAATTAACAAAAATAACTCAGTAGATTAGAGCAAAGAAGATATAAACTATTGCAGTGTTGGAAGCTGTTTATTCTAGGCAATGAGAAGAATCAGAATAACTTTGTTAATGCAAAAGGAAAACTGGGCGGGTGCGTGCCTGCTGTTAAAATACCCCAGGGCCAGACCAACCACTCACTGGCCACTCCTGGGGGACCAGGTGACCAGAGATGGAAAAAGACCATGAGGGGCACAAAGAGACTCCTCTTGGGCCCACCTCAACAATGGAATATCAGCAGGCCTCACTGGATGAATAACTTGAATCATGGAAGGCTCAGGGGCAAGGTAGAAATCTGAATGCAGTGAGGCAAACAATGGGTGGAAAATAAGGAATGCATGTGCGCAGGTTTCTTCTGCGAAGCTCCCAAGCTAAGGTAAGATAAAGGAAGATGGGAAGCTGAGAAAAGGGAAAGGCAATGATGCTTGCTACACCTTTACTGTGGGAGGAGCTGTCACAGTAACTGATGAAGCACAGCCCTGCCCCTTGGGAGGCAGACAGCCACAGACAAAAGTCAACCTAGGCCTGAATGTGGCAGAGTACCCAAAATGACAGAGTCCTCAAATATTTTCTTAACTTTCTTTCATACATTACAACTTTCCTTGGCAACCAGCATGTGCAATATCTGCTTTTTAAGCAATTGTCATTAGGTTTGAATATCAAACATAATAAAGAAAAATTCTTAAAGCACAGCATAAGCCAAATGTGAATTGTGTACTGGCAATTTGCAATATTTAATAGAAGATGTTCTAGAAATAATGAAACTTTACAAAAGGTAGAACGTTTAGTATGAACAGTGATTGTCAGTTGAGGACAGCCTGGTTTACTTACTTTAAGTCGTTTCTGTTTCGCGATGTATGCCTCCTGTAAATCTGGGTTTTCTTCAGCAAGTTTCTTCAGTTCAGACTCTGTGTTACCAATTTGGCCTGATAATGAAATCATTTTTAAAACAGAAAATTATTTCCTCCCTTCTATGTAAGAAACAAGGAGACGCTCATTCATAAGAGCATGAGCTTGGTATTCATGCCCTGCCTGCCTCCGGCTTGCCCTCTCTGTGCCTCAATTTCCTCACCTTTAACATGGAACTACTAGAGTATCTGCCACTCTACTCTGGAGTGGGGATTCGATGGGAAGCACCATGGAAAGCACTTAGGGCAAGGCCCAGTGTGTTGTAAGTGCTTGGTTCAGGGTACTGGGTCTACCTTCCGATAGCTTCCAAGTTTTCTGTAAGGAACTTCTGCATGAAGAGAAGGGAAAAGCCTTATTTTAAAAAAGTATATAAACTCTGTGATAGAATTATATGTATCGGAATACTTGTTTCAAATCATACATAAGAACTTATAAACAGAAGGAGGGTGAACAAAAAGAAGGTGAGAAGAAGGAAGAGAGAGGGGAAAAGAGAGTGAAGAAAGAAGGGAAGGAAAGGGAGAGGAGAAGAGCAAGAAGAAGAGGTATCAAAAAGCAAGAAAAATAACATAAGAGAATGATAAAAGTGAGACATGGTTTTTAGAAAGAATATAGTTTCTAGATTTAGAATATCTAGATATGAGTGTTCCTGGTCAGATACCTCCAGAGTTTGATCGCAGCCACCATCCCCAACCTTCCTGTCCCCAATTACTGTGCCACAAAGCACCCCTCTTTCTACTCTGTACCTCATGTACCAAACCTAATCCATCCTCAGAACAGGACAGGAGAGAGGTGGATATGTCAACTCAAGCTCTGTAATTCTGCAATCACTGAATTTAGAGGTAGAGTAAAGGTTAGACAGCCTGTAGTTCAGCTCCCTCACATAATGAACAAGAAGGAAAGACCAGGAATGCAAACTCAGTTGACTACATTCCCCACAGATCTCAGCTTTCCTAACTCCCAGTTTACCTGTCCATGGGTATATGTTATGGTCTTTATTTTTCCAAATGCCACTCTTCTGAGCTTTTACAAACTTGGCCCTCAAAGTCAAGAGCTGGAAAATCAGGACCTATAGACAATAAATGTCCAGCTAAATAGCTGAAGCACAGATTAATATGATGGTGCACAGGTTGATCTATAACATGCACATCCATAGAGCAAACTCACAACTCTGTTCCTGTCTCCTCTCAATGATCATGAGATATGCCAGGTCTCAAAATAAATAAAAGAAATTCAAGACAGAATTCCAGGTCTTTAAGATGTTTACATACTGCGAATCCTTGTTGTTGCATAAGCTGGGATCATGGAGTCCACAGTTAGCTCAGGATGTAAAATGCAGCCATGTGTATAGGCATCCATTGGCAGAGAGTCGAGCAGTTCTCGGTAATGTTGTACTCGTGGGTAATACATGCTTCCTTTATCAGGCATTAACCTGGGTGTTTTTTCTAAAGTGCATACACAAACACATACACAAACATTGAATGAAAAATTACAAATGAAGTACTACATCAAAAGCAGAAGCAAAAACATAAATCCCAACTATCTTATTATTAACATCTTCACTATTATATCAAAGTATTGAAAAGATATCTCCCCAGTGCACACATTCGAAATTTGAGATGGCCTGATGTACCACACAAAATCCCAAATCATGATCACACTGGCATTCTCACACTTCTCCACCTTACAAATTACCACCCAACCCTCAGGGTCTAAGTATTTGTGCTAGTCATCCACGAAGCATTCCCTATCCTCCTACAACTACCAGCACCTGACTGGGTCAGGTGTACCTTCCTCTGTACACTCAAAGTACCTTGTATGTATTCCATTAGAGTCCTTATCACTATAAATATTTTTATCTTTTTGCCCCCTAAATCTCTTCAGGGTCAGGAACCTGCGGTCCAGGGTCTAGCACAGTTCCTCATATGCATGAAGCATTTGGTGAAGTTTATTAGGGTCTTGATGAAGTTTGGTTAAGAATGAAAGCCCATTATAGAAAGATGTTAAGGGACTGCTCTCTTCTAGGTTCCAATTAATACCAAGAGTAATCCTGTTGATACTATGTGAACATGAAATGACAATCTTAATGTAATTTCTAATATTTCATCTCTGGAAAGTGGGTTCTATATAAATCCTAATTTGCTGGTTAAAAACTAAACTATAGACTCCTTGAGGGCAGGGACCATGTTCTCTGTTGCACCCTCAGTACCTAATATAAGTATTTGGCTCATAGTACATGTACAGTAAGTTTTAATTAATTAATATTTTCCTAAATTTCTAGTTATTATAGAATATAGCAGACGCACATATTCAGTTTCAGCCACCCACATGCAGCCACAGTCCAAAAACATTAAAATAAAAGTTCCAGAAATAAATAATTTTTAAGTTTTAAATTGCATGCTGTTCTGAGTAGCATGATTAAGCCTCATGCTGTCCTCCCCGACTAGCCAGTTACTACCCATCTCAGACTGCCGCAGCATCACAGTGCTTGTGTTCCAGTCACCCTTATTTTATTTCGTAAAAGTCCCAAAGCCATTCACATAACTTTTATTATAGTGTATTATTATAACTGTTCTATTTTATTATTGTTAATTTTTTCTGTGCCTAATTTATAAATTAAACTTTATCATAGATACATATGTATAGGAAAAAAAACATGGTATATAGGGTTTGGTCCTATCCACAGCTTCAGGCATCCACTGGGGGTCTTGTATCTATCTCCCAAGGAAAAAGGGGACTAATATATTTGAGCTAGAGAAGCTCTGTAGTATGAGGACACTGAGATCTATAAGCCAAGAAATTCTCCCAAGATCCCATAGCTAATTAGAGGCAGAACAAGAATTAAAGTCATCTAACTCCTAATGCAGTGCTTTATTTTATTACATCATCATAACATCTTCAAAGGGCTTACTTTTCAGAGACTCTCCAAGAATGATAAAGATTAATCACATGACCCAAAGGCCCAAAGAGTAATGTCCCTTTAGAATTGCTTTCCACTTCTGACTCAAACTGTCCTGAAAAATGCCAACTAGCTTATTCAAACAAGTGAAAAGAACAGCCTCAACTTTATTATTTCTTAGTTATTTTAGTTTAGTTTATTTATTTAGTTTGTTTAGTTAGTTTAGAATCCTTTTGAGTGTCACTCACTCATTCATAAGTTTTGACAAATTCAGAGTTGGTTGCAGAGCATTTCAGGCAAGGTTTCACAGTGCCAGACTGAGTAAAACACGCCTTTGAAGCCAATAGGCTATTTCTGACTCTCTAAGAAAATAGAAGATGGATTACTCTTTAAACCTGCTAGGGAATGCAATTCTGAAGGCTCTATTAGAACCATCAAGAATGGAGTTTCAGCTGCCCACTGCCTGTCAACAGTGGATTTACCCAACTGCAGCACACTTCCTTGTTGACCTTTCAAGATCTCAGTGCATCACCAGGATGCCAATCAATGTGTGGTAGTAAATTCCTCTCACTTCGAAGAGGACAGCATGCTGGAGGGCTTGTAAGGTCTTTGAAATTCAAAAGAGTTCTTAACCTTTTGTGTACCACCACCTTCTTCTCAAAATATTGTTTTTAAATGCATAAAATACAAATATAGGATTGCATAGAAAATTGATATATTAAAAGATAGTAACAAAAGTAATTTTAAATGATAAAAAACTAATATTTGTGATTAGTATTTGTTAATACATTAACAACATCTAGCAGCAGGCCTACCATAATTTCAAAATAATATGAGTGTAAATGATATTTTTAAATATCTGCAATAACTTGATATGCTCCTACGAATATATCTGTGATATCTATTGGTAACAAAGTCACAGGCACCCCTGATATTGTTGTGAATTGTGTATACATTGTAAATGAAAGGAAATAATAAATTACTATCGGAAATTATTAAAAATAAGATATAATTTTTCACCATCTGAGATCATGGACCTCCTGACTTCTATTCATGGACTACTAACGGCAAAGTGTGCTGTGAGAATCCCTGAATTTCCAAAGACTCTCTCAGGGGCTTTACAATGTCAAAGTTATTTTTATAGTAAATCTAAGAGGTTAATTACTTTTTCATTCTTCTTCTCTCTCAAGTTGTCCAGAGGCTACATGACATGTGCTGATTCCATCATTGTGCCAGTTCATGGCATGTGTCCTTGTACATTCTAGTGTTTTAAGCTTTTTTCCACTTTAATTTCCACTAAGGTAGATATTAATAGACGTGGCTCACATAAACAAATGCTCTCAGCTATCCTCAATAATTTTTAACACAAAGGGGCCCTGAAATCGAAAAGTTTAAGAACCACTGCCTTAGGAATCTAAGAACCTCAGGTTAATACCATAAATGGTCCAACATATTAAAATGCTTCCCTAACAGTTAAGTTTGTGGCCACTGGCTCTGGCCACATTCCAGTGCCAGGCCTGAGGCCTGTGTCCAGAGGAGCACAGCACTTCATCCTGAAAAGTGAAGAGAGCAGGAAAAATAAGTCTAGTTGCTTTCGGGGAAAGTTCCATGTGGCCAGGCCAGAATGCTTCCAAGGAGGACAAATGTTGAAATCTATGAAAATAACATTCTTCTATGCATTATACCATTGCTATGTAACTCTAATATCTCCTGAAATGCCGTGTCAGAACAGAAAACACCCAGGGATCCCGCATTCTCTTCCAGTCTCAGCCTCTCCTGGAAGGCGCCCTGTCCAGCATCAAATGCGCAACGTCCTGCCATCCTCCTTTCACCAGAGCACTGCAGCGTCTGCTGCCTCTGGAAACAGGTTTTCAAAACACAACTGGGAACTTTATTTGAACTCTACAGCTTCCCTCTCACTTCATCAAATTTTATATTTTCCAGTCCTTTCATCTTTGTTGTAATACTATGAAAACTAATAAACTGAACATTCATTTAAATGGAGTCATGAGGCTAGAAGAGAGACCTCTCATGAATGTCACTCAATGCTGACCCCAACAAGAAGAGATGAACCTGCATCTCCAACAAGAAGTGACACCATTACCTTAGCTGGAAAAAGAAAACTTCCTCCCTGCCCAGTAACAGTTCAGCCAATGGGAGGCTGCCAGAACTCAGTCCATGAGAAGTTACTGTATTCCAAACTTCCAATATCCTCCAATAGATTCTTTCTTTACAACAGTCCCTCCTGAGTCCACACAAAAGTGTTCCTCTTCTTTGTTTCTCTAAATTGGCACATAGTTCGCCATTATACCATCTGTTCCGAATTGCAATTCTTTGTTGTTCCCAAGTAAATACATTATTCTGGAAAAATAGCTGGCAATTTGTTAAGTCAATAATGCTTAAAAAAAAAAGAAAAAAGAAAGAAAATATTTTCTTGGAATTGCACTCAATTAAGAGTGGGAAAGTAATAGAAGGCTTATAAGAACAGAACAGGGGATCAGAGGGTTTTTAAGAATCGAGCAATGAGAAGAGTTCCCAGCACTAGGGAATAGAGTTGCAGCAGTGGAAGCCACAATTAGTCACTAAGCTGGAAAAACAAATAAGAATAAATAGATAAGTTGGCATAAGATCTGACTTCCTAGAAGACTGAGTAAGGGATAAGACAGATCTTGTATCGCACCTAAAATTAAGCAGCAATTTAGAAACAAGCAGATAGACATAAAACAATGAAATGATAAACAAAAAAGGGAGAAAACAAAAGTTTTTTAAAAAATCAGAAGAAAACAATAAAAGCTTTTTGCAGTCATTTAATAGGAACAACTCTGTACATTCTCAAGTCCCCATATTGCTGGTTAGAATAACAGTGGCCTTGAGCCATTTTTAAAAATTACATTCAGTTCCACCAAGAGCAAAAAAATAAAAAGGATCTAAGGATTTAAAGGCATAAGTTTCCATTATTTTACTAAATACACTACTCTGATTTCCTACATTCCCCAGTGATGGCAGATAAAAGAGGTAGTACTGTATGTGTTATCAAGAAAGACTCCTCCAGGTGTATTTGAATAACTTCCAGATCTTCTTTATTGGCTCACTGAAAACAGACTAGACTTCATCTTTTCTAAGGATCTTTTGTTAATTTTGTTATCCCACTTAGATTACTTAGTGATGATATTAGTGTATAAGATAATATGCATCAAGTAGCTGAACAAGATTGTACCCTTCAACTAATCATACCCCTGGCCATTTGAAAATATAATCATGGTAAACAAATTATGACCTGAAGCAAAAGGTATGGTTAAAAACTAACTATAACTCAAGGCTCTTTTAACTTTCATGCTAGAAAGATCAAATAAACTAACTATAACTCAAGGCTCTTTTAACTTTCATGCTAGAAAGATCAAATCTAAACACAGACATGAAAAATTACATGGTGTCAAATTATACAAGTTCACTAAATACACCCAGGATTTTCTGAGACAGCCAAATTTAGAGCATTATTTTCAAAAATTGTATACTTTAAATGTTTAACTATCTTTTATTTATTTG